AGCTCGTGGGTTCGAGCCCTGCGTGCGGCTCTGTGCTGACAGCTCGAACCCTGGAGCCTGCTTCGGATTCTGTCTTCCTCTCTGTCTGCCCCTAACCCACTCGCATTCTGCCTCTGTCTCTCTCAAAAATAAATAAACATTATGAATGAATGAATGAATGAATGAATGAATGAATTTCCGTGGAAGGCACTTGGCGGAGGCCTTACTTGTCTAGAACCAAGCTGCACATATTTTCCAGATACGTTTGGTGGCCAATTATTTAATGCTAATTGATACCCTGTAGCTTCTCTCAAGCACTGTGCTCACAACAGCCTTTTCTATTATGGTATTTTATGTGCAATCTGGAGTTTTGAAATAAGTGCATCTAACTACCTATTTAGATGAGCACTTAAATTGTATAGCAGTAAATAAATAAGTATTTGGAAAGAAATACTGGGCGATAGTCCATTTAAAACTGCCGTGGATACAAAGCCTTATTGCTGCAGGAAAAGTTTAGAACATTAATTTCTGACTGACTCATCTTCCTCCATCTACAAGGATCTATAATTGAAGGAAGTAGACTGTTGCCACTCAGCAGGGTTTTTGTTGTGCCTTAAACCTTCTCACTTTCTCCTTTTTATTATTAGCCTCTCTTGGGCTGTATTTTTTAAGAACGTATTTATTTAAATTCAAGTTAGTTAACATACAGTGTAGTATTGGTTTTAGGAGTAGAACCCAGTGCTCATCCCAACAAGTACCCTCCTTAATGCCCCTCATCCATTTAGCCCATCCCTCCTCTCACCTCCCCTCTTTCTCCATATTTAAGAATCTCTTATGGTTTGCCCCCGTTTTTATCTTGTTTTATTTTTCATTCCCATCCCCTGTGTTCATCTGTTTTGTTTCTTAAATTCCAAAGGAATGATATCATATGATACGTATCTTTTTCTGACTTATTTTACTTAGACTGAATTTTATTATTGATTTATTTATGTATTATTAATAAAGCCCCATAAAAACATCTGGGCTTTTCTTTTGGGGAGGTTTAAAAAAATTTTTTTTGATGTTTATTTATTTTTGAAGGAGAGAGAGAGAGACAAACATGAGCAGGGGAGGGGCAAAGAGAGAGGGAGACACAAAATCCCAAGCAGGCTCCAGGCTCTGAGCTGTCAGCACAGAGCCCCATGAGGGGCTCCAGCCCACAAATGGTGAGATATGACCTGAGCTGAAGTCGGACACTTAACTGACTGGGCCATCCAGGCACCCCATTTGGACTCCATTTTAAAACTGCTGTAAAATGCAGCCTGACCCATAACCCATAGCTTTCCTTGAAGTTAGATCTCCTGTTCCTTTCCCATCAGGAAACTAGTTTTAAAGGCTTAAAGGAAGGCTTAAGGCCTTCCCCTTGTCCCAGGCCTAGAAGAGCAAGCAGGCTAGAGAACAGTTCCTCAGACACACACATTATGGTCTAGCAAAACAAATAGTTGTAGTTCCCAGAATCTGCCTTTGTAGTTTCACATTATGTCTTGCAAATTCGTTTCCTTCTTTCTGAAATCCTCCTGCTCCTGGCTTTTGTCCTGGCAAACACCGACTTAGTCTTCAAGTTTTATCTCAAAAGCTATTTCTTCTGTGAAACCTTCTTTGGTTCCTAAAGACAAACTTGGGTGCTCCTCTTAGTTTCCATGTTGCTTAGGTATGCTATGCTTATATGTTAATGTTATAACAGCAATACTGCTTTCCAAATACAGGTTTTTAGCCTTCTTAGATCATAAAGGCAAGGATTGTGTCTGCTGTTTTCATGACAGCGAGCACAGTACCTACCTACCTACCTACCTCAGCAAGCACAGTTATGCGTGTAATCCATGTTTGTTAAATGAGCAAAATAGCTCCTTTTTACTGTTTCAGATTTAAGGGACTCATGACTGAGTACAGGTTTGTTGCTCAGAGAAGTTCAACAGGCTAACAGGAACAGGCCTTGCGGCTCTTAAGCCCTGAGGCTCACCCTAGCTTCTTGGTTTTCAGTTTTTCATTACCAGCTACGGGCCTGAGCTGGTTCCAAAGCTGCCACCACTGGCTTAAACCATTAGGGCCTTTGTCCCCTAGACTAGCTGCCAAGTGCCATTCAGCCTCTTTAATTTCCCCTTCTCTATTGTCCCAAGAAGAAAAGCTGACAGGCCTCACCCCCACCACACTCTTTACACACTCTTTACAGGGGAGATAGGTGCAGGTTTCATTATTTTTTCTTTTAATTGTTTTATTACAGAAATTTTCAAATGTTTCCAAAAGTAGAGAGACTAGTGTAATGAAACTCTATGCACTTATAAGTTAAATTCAACAATGATCAACTCATGGCTAACTTCATGTCAAATATACTCTTGGCCACTTCCGCTTGCCCCTATTGGATTATTTTGAAGGATATTCTGGATATATTTTATTTGTAGACATTTTCATATGTACCTTTAGAAGTAAAAACATAATCACAGTATTATCACAATATTTAAATAAATTGTCTACAGTTCTTTAATATCAAATATCCAGTAAGTGCACAAATTTCCTGATGGTCTCCTGAATGGTATCTTACATTGAGTTTGTTTGGATCAAGGTTCAAATGTTCACACATTGCATTTGGTGGAAATGTGTCTTGAGTTTCCTTTTTTCATAAGTTTTTTTCCTTCTTTTTTTTAAGTTTATTTATTTATTTTGGGGGGGGAAGGGAAAGAGAGGGAGGGAGGGAGAGAGAGAGAGAGCGAGAGAAGGAGAGAGAGAGGGAGAGCAAGCAGGCTCCATTCTGTCAGTGCAGAGCCCAAATTAGGGCTCGAACCCATGAACCGTGAGATCATGACCTGAGCTGAAATCAAGAGTTGGGACGCTGAACCAACTGAACCACCCAGGCGCCCCATCTTTTTGAAGAATTGGATGATTTGTCCTGTATAATTTCCCACATTCTGTATTTGGCTGATTGCATTGGCTGATGACAATCTACCATGTTCCTCTATCCCCTGTACTTCCCGTGACCTGGTGGTTAGATCAAGGGGTCTCTGATACAAATTGGATTTCTGGGCAAAAAAAGGGGGTGCTGTGTACTTCCACGTGGTGGCATCATGTTGGAGTGTCTTTCTTTTTTTGCAGTGTTAGTTGCCATTAATGATCACTTCCTAAATCTGTTGTTTCATTAAGTGTTTGCCAAGTGGTGATATTCTATCATTACTTCTTCATTTTATTTGCTAGAATACTTCTATAAAGAGAAACTTCCCTTCACCAAATAAGGTTACCCTCAGGGACAATTTATATAGAAAAACCAGATTAAAATTTTCTTTCCTTTATCAGTTTTCAGAATACTAAATAATCCCTAACCTCCCTTAATGAGAATTCTTTTTAGAAGTCCAATGCACTATCCATTGCACTATAGAGCCAGGTAAGAGAATTCTTTTTAAATTGTCATTTATAATGCATAAATTTAGCATACTTGATGAGTTTCAATCCTTTGCTGTGATTATTCTTATTGTAGCCCACATTTACTGGAGTCCACTTATTGAAGTCTCTTATCGCTGGTCAGTGGGAACCTCTTTAGATGGGCTCCAAAATCCACTTGGCCCCTTTGATATCTTCCTTGCTTTCTGTAGTCAGCAGAGCATCAGCCATTTCCCTGAGGACACTTGTTTCCTTTTAGTAGGGAATGCTCTTTAGAGACCACAATCTGGCTTCCCCCCCCCCCCATTAATCATATAATAATACATGTTCATTGTTTTAAAAAAAATCAGAAGATATAGGGACTCCTAGGTGGCTTAGTTGGGTGCAAAGCCTGCTTGGATTCTCTCTCTCCTCTCTCTGCCCATCCCCTGCTCACATGCAAATGAGCGCATGCTCTCTTTCTCTCTCTCAAAATAAACTTAAAAAAAAATCAGAATGTATAGATAAATTGAAAGAAGATTGAAAATATCATAATGATACCAGAGAAATGCTGCCAAATTTTGGTAAACCATATTCCAGACTTTTTTCTGTGTCCCTATAATTTTTTTCCTATAAATTTTCTTCAGTGTTTTTTTTATTTTTTTATTTTTGAGAGAGTGCAAGCAGGGGAGGGGAAGAGAGTGAGGGGACAGAGGATCCGAAGCAGGCTCCCTCTGACACCAGTGAGCCTGATGTGGGGGTAGAACTCACCAACTGCGAGATTATGACCTGAGCTAAAGTCAACCAACTGAACCACCCAGGGGCCCTTTTCCTGTAAATTTTCTTAAAATGACAAAATACAGTGCATTTTGTTTTGTTTATTTGCCTTTTAAGAACTCAGCAAAGTCTCATGAACATTTTTCTACATCATGAATACACTACGAACATTTTTCTACGTCATGAATATACTTCTCTAAGATCACTTATTTTATCATTTTTTTTCAACATTTATTTATTTTTGAGAGATAGAGAGAAACAGAACATAAGCAGGGGAGGGACAGAGAGAGAAAGAGACACAGAATCTGAAGCAGGCTCCAGGCTCTGAGCTGTCAGCACAGAGCCCAATGTGGGGCTTGAACCCATGA